GATTTTATAATAAATTTGCAGTAAATTTATAATAAATAACATTTCACCTAATGTTATAAGGTGACATGCCAAAAATGGTAATATCTGCATAAAACAAAGCTGTAAAACTATTTAAAATTCACCCCATTTGTTCACTTAAAGGTGATATTGTGATAAAAGAATACTAATCTAGTGTCCATTTATAAAATTATGAGTTTAATATTTTATTCAATATATTAAGCCATGTACAATGGGGACATGAAAATTTACGATTAATACCTCATTCTGTTATAGCCACTGTCCCATATCATAGTCATTACATGATAAAAGATGTCTCTCTAATGATCTCTCTTCCTTTAGACCTTCACTGTCTTCCTATCAGATGTCCATAATCTTAAAATATATTAAATGCAGTTTGGGGGAAGCTACTCAAAAAAGGAATATACTGTTTTACAGATAATGGACTACCTCTCAAAATTCAATCAGATTCATAGACTAAGTACTTCATGGCAGAGTATTTGCATTACTAATTAAAAAGCACATAGTCTCATGTAGCCAGACCTTTGACTGAACAGCATATGTTCTTGTCCACACTGCCACTTATTCTTGCCAAGAACCACCTACTTAGACAGTTTTGTGAGCGATATGCATCGGATGGTCAGCGAACAGACTGTTTGTGTGCCATCTGAGACTAAGGAACATTAAAAAGATACCAGGCTGGACTAGACACTAGGGCTATATGTGATCATTTTAAGTTGCAAAAGCCGTTTATGCCGAACCATGATTTGTGAAAGTACTTAACATTTTGTTAGTGTTGTAATTGATCTACACTACTGTTCAAATGTTTGAGGTCAGTAAAATTTGCTCTCCAAGGCTGCATTTATTTAATCAATACAGTAAAAACAGCAATAATTCAATTCAATTTCATTGGCTAAAGAGATGTGTCTTTAATCTAGATTTAAACAGAAAGAGTGGGTCTGAACCCTGAACATTATATTGTGAAATATTATTATAATTTAAAATAACTCTTTTTTTTTTTATATTTTAATATATTTCAAATTAAATTTATTCCTGTGATGACAAAGCTGAATTTTAAGCATTTGTTACTCCAGTCTTGATTGTCACACGATCCTTCAGAAATTATTTTAATATGCTCAAGTAACATTTCTTATTATGTTGAAAACAGTTGTGCTACTTAATATGTTATGTGGAAACCATGATGCATTTTTTTTCAGAATTATACGATGAATAGAAAGTTCAAAAGAACAGAATTTATTTGAAATAGAAATCTTTAAAACATTATAAAAGTTTTTTTTAAACTAGAGTACTTTTGCGTAAATCTCCTTATTCTGTCAGATAATGTCTAAAATTTTGATAATGTCTATGATTTCTGTTTGGATTCTTTAGAGATTATTTTCTTAAAGGGGTCCTGTTATGCTTTTTCACTTTTTCAACTTTAGTTAGTCTGTAATGTTGCTGTTTGAGCATAAAAAAGATCTGCAAAGTTACAAAGTTCAAAATCCACTACAAAAGGAGATATTTTATTTAACAGAAATCACATTTCAAAAACTACAACAAACGACTCGTTTGGACTACAACGCATATTTTCTGGGATTTGTGATATCACAAATATCGACGAATGGGACGAGACCTGGTTGAGCTGCACTAGAGAAGGCAATGAGTGTTATCACTATGTCGGAGACAAGCTAGCTTTCCCAAGGCAGACGAACTTGGAGTGGTTACAGTCATCCGGGTTTAAATCGCGCTCAAATTGATTTGTTTTGGCGCAGTATGTTAGCAGAAGCAATTAATCTCTCTACCTAACTGAACCTGCTAGTAGCGTTATAGTTACTGCTACACTTTTTTACACATATTGTTGTCTTATATTCGTATATTAATAAATCTGTTAACAGCTTACGTATTAACTAAGATTATGCATTATAAGTTTATGTCTATGTCATTAAAGTAGTAACATCATTTAGACTATTTCATTTATTTTAAGGGTGTTTACTCATTTTTACTGGAGATCAAGACAAACGTACTTATTTAAAGTAGAATTTTTATGTTGGTTACGTTGTAATTGTATTAAACATGCCATTCTTAAGTATAAGCTTAACTCTCCTCTGTTTCACTTCTTCCTTTAGCCGTTACCTGCGCAGCTCCTCCGCCAATCTCAAACGGCCTCCTGGAGGGACGTGACTTTGAGTGGGGCACCAGCGTGAGTTACAGCTGCTCCCCAGGATATGAGCTCTCTTTCCCTGCCATTCTCACCTGTGTGGGCAATGGTACATGGAGTGGTGAGGTGCCTCAGTGCTTGCGTGAGTACTGTACTACTCTATTAATATTAATCAAACTGACTGTTTCATCCCTGTGGGTGTTTGCAACCCTATGCATGCCAACATTTCCCAAAAAAGCGGCAGAAAGTTCACACCTTGCCTTATGTCTGCAACTTAGCTATGTGCTGTTGGTGAGGAAGTCATGTTCAGACATTTATTGATTGATTTATTGATTGGGTCATCACTGAATGAGAACATATAGGTCAACATTTATTTTTCAATTAGATCTGCTGGATTATGCAGCAATATTTGTTTAGGACACCAGACAAGGTGGGCTCAGCATGGTGGGATGTCAGTCTGTTTCAGCACAATGCTGTATGATGACTAAGCTGAAGAACCTCCAGGCATGGTATGAGAATTTAAAGTTTAAAAAGCCTAGTTATCACAAAGGTACCCTTGTTTTAGCCCTCACATGGAACAAAAGCAGCCAATGTTAAAAATATATATTTTGCTCGAGATAGAAAGCATACCTCTGACTTTGTAAGGGTACTGATTTTTTTCCTTCTCTTTCTTTTCCACTTTTATTTTATATCCTGACAGCATATCTATAATTCATCAATAAAAGGCAAGTTTGTAGTGCTAGATCTCAGGCACAGTAGTCTGACCAGCATATTTATGATGGATCAGACAGCTGATGACGTCAACCATGTGATTGATTTTCCCTCCAGAGACCTATTGTTTGCCTGACAGTGGCAGGGCCATGGATAACATTTACCACAGGGCTTGGGACTTCCCCCAGTATTATGTGGCTATGTTCAGAATAGCATAATAGCAGACTATTCTTACTATACCTGCAGTATATAATATGTACGCTACCATTTAAAAGTTTGGGGTCAGTATGCTTTTTTTAAGAAGTGAATATTTTTATTCAGCAAGGATGCATGAGATTGATTAGAAATTGACATTGTAGACATATATGATGTTAAAAAATTATTTAATAAATGCTGTTGTAAAAAAAGCATTGATATTAAAAAAGGTTTCATGAGCACCAAATCAGCATATTAGAAAGATTTTTGAAAGATCATGGGACACTGAAGACTGGAGTAATGGCTTCTGAAAATTCAGCTTTGCCATCACAGGAATAAATGTTATGTATGTTATTTAATCTATTTTAATCTATTTTAAAAATGTAATTTATTCCTGTGATGGCAAAGCTCTCATTACTCCAGTCTTCAGTGTCACATGATTATTCTAATTGTTATTTTAATGTTATTTTAAATTGTGATAATATTTCCCAATATTATTTTTTTACTGTATTTTTCATTGTTCGGCCTTGGTCAGAATAAGAGAATCTATGCACATGCATGACCTAATACATTTGCCAAAATGTGCAGTATACATACATCAGAGCAAACAGCATGATGCAATATCCCACAATGCAGTCTGCTTGTTTCGACCTTCCATTTCGAGTGTGATGAATGAACCAATGGTAGGAAATATACAGTGTATATTGCAGATTGTAAAGCATTACATTTTAAACAACTTTTGAATATTCCTCACATTTCTGTGTTCACAATTTGAATATTTTATACACTTTTTCTCTCTTTCTGATAAGTGATAAATATTAAGGACAACATAATAAAGCATGCACTTTGTTTTATAAAGACAAAGCTTTTAGCATCATTCATGCCTAACCGTTTGAGAATGATTTTGCTGAAAGTGTTTCTTTATGATCTCTGTGATTATAGCTAAGTTCTGTGGAGATCCTGGAATCCCTGCTTTTGGCTCGAGGGAAGGCCGCAGTTTCATCTACCAGTCCGAGGTGTCATTTAGCTGCATGGCTCCCTACATCCCAGTAGGCAGTACTACACGCATTTGCCAGGCTGATGGCACCTGGAGTGGATCCCAGCCTCGCTGTATAGGTAAATCAATTATACTGGCACAGTTTTGTAAGGAATTTTAACTCAGTTGTAAGGGAATTAATTATTATTAATTGAGGTTTTAGCGGACTAGGATCTGAAGAGCCTAATTCAACCTGATTCGAACTGATTCTAAATTTGATAGTTTACACTTTAAATCAAGGGTCGTCCAGCGAGCCGGTGATTCTCAGTATATTTTAACAAATTAAATATGTGTTTTCCTGGCCATGGTCAACACACTTATGATAATTTGTCAGCTCTTAAGAGAGAGGTAACGTTGATCTTGGCAAAGTTTTAGCCTTGAAATTATATGACACCAGACAATTGATTATTTATAAATGAAACATGGATTTTATTGGCTATTTTAGACACAAAATATTTACACACAAAAATACACACACACATGTACAGGTTCTTAGGATGTGAGTTGACGGAGTTTCATAGTTCTACCTCGTTTTCACGAGTGATGTAGGTTCACCTGAGATAACTCACACGCAGAGAATTTTTCTTAAATTTTACTGCTTATCTAAATTCACCAGTTCAGCAGATCGAAGATTTTGTTTGTACTTGCGTTTTGCTTAGTTGACAGCTGAAAGCTGAGGTGATTTCGTCGCTGACGCGGGCTTCCTGGATGTCTTTGAGGGAACCCCGTTACTGGTTGGTCGTTGAGGTGACGTTGGAATGACGTTTGAATGACGTTCTTTTGGAAAAGCCCTCCGGAGATTGGTTGGCTTCTTTATGGCTCGGAGGCTGCAGCAGTTTTGCTAAAAGTCTTAGTTTGCAAGACTTTAAGTTCTTTGAAGATTTCAACGAAGTATCACTGAAGTGTTGAGTTTTAGATGGCTGGTCGCTTTTGATGGTAAGCGTGTGAGCACACGTGGGGTGCTCTAACACGGCGACAGGCGAGAGCAGGAGAAGCAGCTAGCACATCTGTCTGCATTGGGTTTTTGTTCCGCTGCATAAGTCCATCCCACGACGCGACCTTCCAATCGCCTTCTTGTGCAGGTGGAGCGTGCATACATTAACAAGAGGCTTCAATTAATAAACACTGTAATTAAAATAAAAACACTGGTTAAAGTTGCACCGATTACATGAAACACGTCAAGCATATATATAAGACATACAACATATTATTTGTGAATCTGGTTGCCCTGTTATGCGCATAAATTATTATCTGTTGAAATTGTCTTTTGTAAGTTTCGTGTCCCTTTGTCTGACCGAGGAGAGAGAAAAGGGTGCGTCCTTTTTTTGGAATGCAAAGGGGGAAAAGGGGAGATGTCCGGAGGTCATTCTCGTGTCAGAGCATGAGAGTCTGCCAAGCTTCTCCTGGACAGAGAGAGTTCTTAATCTGCCACTTTCTGTTTATCAGATTTAGCAATTTATGTGTTAACAGTCCTGAGGTCCGGGAGTATCTGTCACTGGAATTCTGTCTAGATACCAGGCTCTTTGTTCCGTGGTCCATTAGATGGTTTATTTATGCTGAAGCCAGTCACGAAACCTACTGACGTTCTGTTGCTTAAATGAATCCAGATGGGGTAGGGTCAGTTCTTGTTGGTTCTTGTAAAGATAAGCAGAGAGAGACAGGAACTGCTGAGACCCTGAGCTGACCCTGTACGTAGTTTTATGACTGCAGATGGCTGGGGAGAAAAACCTTTAGTTTTCCCGGTGGAATGTAGAGATTCAATGTTCATTTGTGTCCGTTTATAGATTCAAGGGTTTCAATATCTTGAAGGCCAGAATCCTACAGTTTGCATGTTTAAGCCATATTTTAAATTCCCAGTCAAACAGACTATCATAATAATTGTTGTATGTTTGTATATCAAAACCTAATAATGCTAAAAACCAAATAATCAGCCAGCTGAAGCTGACCACTGCGTCCAACTCTAAGCAAGAAGCAATTATGGTCACTTAAAGGGATAGTTCACCCAAAAATGTTAATTAACCCATGATTTACTCACCCTCAAGCCATACTAGGTGTATATGACTATCTTCTTTCAGACAAATACAATCAGAGTTATTTAAAAAAATGTCCTGGCTCTTCAGAGCTTTATAATGGCAGTGGGCAGTTGTTTCTGTTCAACAGTCCAAAAGAAGTCCAATAAAGCGCATCCATCCATAATAAAAAGTGCCTCACACAGCTCCGGGGGGTTAATAAAGGCCTCCTGTAGCGAATCTGTGCATTTTTGGAAGAAACATGTCCATATTTAAAATTTTATAGACAGTAATCTCTAGCTTTCACTTACTGTTCCTGTAGCAAATCAATCCGTTTTTGTAAGAAACATATCTGTTTTTAAAACGTTATAACCACTTTTCTGTAGCTTGCTCTAACTGTTGTATGCGGAAGCCGTTGTGGGAGGATGACGTAGGACGTATGCGCCGGTGAGAAATGACGGACGTGGAAGCAGAGAGGAGAGAACAAAACAAAACACTGGTCACGAATTTGAAGTACAAAACGAGGATTTGTGAAGACAGATGTCGGAGGATTTCGATATAAGCCAAGAGAAGACTGGTTTTCCTTTGCTAAAGTAAGGAAACTTTGCTTCCTTTGTTCCTGAAAACAAACGTTGGTTTTCGCGAGGCTAGCATATTCTCACCGGCGCATGCGCTACGCCTACGTCCTACATCATCCTCCTGGAACGGCTTCCGCATACAACAGTTAGAGCAAGCTACAGAAAAGTGGTTATAACGTTTTAAAAATGACGTTAAAAGATTTGTTTCTTACAAAAACGCATTGATTCGCTACAGGAAGGCTTTATTCACCCCCGGGAGCCGTGAGAGGCACCTTTTATTTCGGATGGATGCGCTTTATTGGACTTCTTTTGGACTGTTTAACAGAAACACCCGCCCACTGCCATTATAAAGCTTGGAAGAGCCAGGACAATTTTTTATATAACTCCGATTGGATCCGTCTGAAAGAAGAAAGTCATATACACCTAGGATGGTTTGAGGGTAAGTAAATCATGGGTTAATTTTCATTTTTGGGTGAACTATCCCTTTAAGTCATTCGACACTTTATGGTTTCATGGTTCAGTTCAGTGGAAGCTAGATGATCAGAATTTCAAGTTTTGCCTCAAATATTACTTTCCAGTAGCCCTGGCTGCTTTGTCTTATGATTACCGCCCACAATGATAAGCCCTTTTGGTATTATTTGTCACCCAGTACACAAACAAGCTCAAAAGTATTTAGCAACAACAATTCCAAAGAAATCGATGCCCTCCCACAGCCCTGGCAGCCCAGACCAGTGCTGCTTCAATCGGGCTTGATGTTGTATTGACACAATTATGGTGGGAAAGAGCAAAGCCACTCCTTTTAGTGACCACAGAACAAGGGAAGTGGGAACATTTGGCAGTCGAGCAGACGAGTATGAAGTGAGGAATGGAGGCCAGGGAAAATGAAATTGCATGAGAAACTTCAACTTGAGAAACTCACTTCTTGATGGCTGGCAGTGGCAGCTGTTGTGAAGTTATTGTCCTCTGCTTCTCGGCTCGGTTCCCATGACCTTCTCAAACACAGGTGCACTGAGGCATGTACCTGGCTGAAGTTCTATAATTCACCAATCAAATGATTCATCGGTTACACTTTACAATTCAGGTTCAATTCGTCAAAAGTTAATGCATTCGGTGTCAGGAACTCACAGTGAACAATTCTTTTACAGCTTTTATTAATCTTGGTTTATGTTCATTTCTACAATGTACAAATACATTTTAGCCTTTCAAGTTGTATAAATTAACATGAATGTAGTCTGAAAAGGCATGAATTAACAATTAACAACAATATGTTCAAATTAACATGAACCTAGATGAATAAATCCTGAAAAGAAATGTTCATTAGTTAATGCATTAGGTATAATGAATTAACAGTGTTAACTAATTGAACCCTTATCACTTTTTTCAACTTGTGTTTGAAAGTGTTTTTTTTATTGCTGCATTTATTGTAAAAAATAAAATAAAATGTACATACTGATGTCACCCAAATTTAGATCCGTACTGTTTATATAGATCTTTATACTGTTTGTGTAATATAAATTCTCTTATTTGCAGGATTAAATATTACCATCTGATATTCTGAAGATATTTTCTGTTTCTGACTTTTAGTGTAGATAACTGTTTAGGTAAGGTAGTTTGACTAGAGTTAAACTACATGAATTCATGAGTTTGTAACTTAAACTTCAAGTTTTGAGTCTTTGTTCCTCCAAGGGTTTATTTCGCATACTACCCTTACAGTTTTTTCCCTTGTTACTTTCACCCCAGGTTCCCTTACTGGAGGGTATTAAGGCACTGATCTCTCTAAAGCTACTTTAGGGTGCTTTTGAATTGCAAGAGACACCATAGAGATTAATGTGAACTGAATCAAATAATCAAATTATTCACAAAGAGTTGTTTCTCTCTTTTAAAATATATCCTATGAGTCCTATGAATTAGTTCTGACAGTATTTCTATGTACAGTATGTATACATACATACTTTATTTCTTTCACTTTTCCTTCTCTGTGTATGAACTGGCCTTTGGCTGTATTATCTACATCAATTTTTCCATGTCTCATTATCAAAGCCTCCTCTCACTGTCCCCCTAAGTACAGTGTTTATCTGATTAAACCCCTCAGTTTATATATCCATGAGGGAGTCCTTCTCCTAACGTCAATAAATACATCGATAATTATTTTTAATTGAGCAAGTAATTGAATAAATGGTCCCAACTCTATGAGGTCATTATTGAGGAGCCATGAACAGCCAGCAGGAGATTTGGATGAGCTCTGGTTGGCGTTTTTAAGCATTTAGTGTATTGTTCCAACAGAAGATGTCAGCCATAGCCCAAAAGCAGGTGTAATAATTTAGCTCTTTCAATGGAGTATTATTATGGCCTCATATTACACCCTCAAAGACACCATAAAAAAGTAATATAGGGTGTTAGGGGGGTGGAAATTAAGTGCTCTAAAAGGCCACTAAATAATTATACACAACAATTCTTATAGAATGAATCCTATTGGCTGTTCTCACTGACTAAGATAAACCCCATGTAGTCTAGTTCAGTGGCACGGACGAAATTAGATGCAAATAATGAAATTCAACTAACCTTAAAATTGTGCATAGTTAGGTGCATAGTTAGGTGTAGCAAAATCATTTTTTTTAAAGTTAGAGAAAACTTTTGTTGTTGACGTAAAAAAAAAAATGTGCGTCCAGTTGCAAATTCATATATCAGTTGGTAGAAGCTAACAAATTAGGCAGATGGCGACATGAACAGGTTGTGTGACATGACCTCATCCTCAAAAAATTTGAAATAAACTACACAGGGTAAAAGAATATATGACCCAAGCAACAATAAACACAGATCACTTGCAGTGAGGACAGGTTTATGCTGACCTTAGTGTGTTTTGTGCAGTGCATTATTGGCGACCAAGAACATGAAACAATCAGAGACATTTAGAAACCAAAATTTTGACACATTTTGTCATATTGTTGGATATATGTTGGGCATTTTGTCATATTTTGTCATATTGTTAGGCATATGCAACTGTATTATTATATTACATTATATTATATTGTTTTTCATCCGTTTAAATAAAAAAACATGTTTATAAAAGTGTATCTTTTGGTGGTGACTTACATTTTTAATACATGTAAAAAAAAATTTAAAAAAATAAAGGATGCGAGTCAGTGAATCAGATGTACTAGTTTCTACTTGATACTATTTGGCCTCCTAGTGAGCTCTTCCTTCAAAATCAAAGCAGTGCGAACGCTATCTGCAACTCTTTTCTCAATATGGCAATCCAGTCATATATTTTCTGTGTGCTGACTCAGTATTAGAAGCTACACGCTCAAAAAAACGGCATGGAAAAGGGGTTGGTTTTGTAAGCCTTGCAGGTTGTCCTGTCATTTGCATGCCTGCATTGAATCAAGGGTCTCTGCGTCAGCTCAAAAATGTGCTCTACATCCCAATTACAGAGTAGCACAGCTGTGTGGTAGCAGATGCACTGCTGCAGCAACACTGCCCCCTGCTGCGTCTCCATCAGCCCACCATAAAAAAAAATGTTAGGACACTGCTGCAGCACTTACATAAGCACACAGGCCCCATAACCATCACTATAAGCCGAGTCTTAGCATTGCTTTGAGAGATGTGTTTGGGCTCATGAAGGGCGATGTAGCACATATTTATGAGAGCTGAAATGTTATGTTCTTATGGTGGTGAAAAAGAAACTGCCTCAGTTGTGACCGATAAGAAGATATTGAGAAGAATGTGACTGGATATTCATTTGTTTTGTCTTTCTTCTTCCTTTCATTTCTCAGAGCCAACCCGTACCACCTGTGAGAACCCTGGGATGCCCCGTTATGGCTCTCTCAACAGGACCTTTGGCTTTAAGGTAGCAAGATGACTACATATATAATTAAAAACATGTGGAGTTCATTTCAGCTTGAGTGCTGAAAAAAGGGACAAACCAAAATTCTAAGAAATAAGAACTAATATGAACCAACTAATTTGAAATGTATTGTTTAGTATAAGAAGTAATATTATTTTTTCAACAAAAAAAAAAACTTTCACTCATATATTATATATTTTTTTTTATTTTTACACTTGTTATATACTCATGCACTGTAATATTATTATATTATATTATTCATAATGACAAAAAATATTATAAGACTTTTTTTGCACTTTTATTACTCTGAAAGCAGTGGTTCTCAACCTTTTTGATTCCAAGGCCCAACCTTGTCCACAACAAATGTTCGAGATTTTTGGGATATACTGGAAAATTATTAATGTAAATGCAAAAATAAAAAGATTTTGCCCTAAAAAAGCTAGAAAAATATATATTCATAAAAAATATAAAAATCCCCAAAGAGTTAAAATCAGATTTTGTTAATGTATATGACTTTTCATGTCTAGAAATCACGCTTTTATAATTCTTCAAAGAAAAATAAAACAATTATTGAGCGGGTGAATTCAAATAAGAAATGTCTTGTTTTTGTTGTTTGTTCCTGTAAACAAACGTTGTTCTGGCTTATTTTAATGCATGTTTAGTCTTCATTTTAAATAATTTTAAGTCATCTTGGCCCCAACTACCTCACTGAGAAACACTGCTTTTTAATGGAAAAGTTCATCAAAAATGAAACATTTTGTTATCAGATATTATCCCTTATGTCATTCTAATTTGAAACTACAGCTTCAGATGACATGGAAAATAGAGAATGAGTTGTATGGACCACTTTCACAACACATTTTTCACAGTCGCAAACCATTTTTTCACCAGTGCCAAAGATCTTTTTCTGTTTCTCTGAAGATAGAAATTAACACAGTGGTTGGAATAACAGTTTAATTTATAAGTGAACTATTTCTTTAGTCTTCAAATTTAATGGTTAAAAAGAACAAATTAGCCTTCAAATAAAGATTTCATATCTTCCCTCATGAAAGCGTTCTTAATGATTTTCAAAGAATGATTCATGCCTTTTCTCAAAACACTTCAGACAAACTGCATGTACAAACTACAAATTATTATTAAGACCTCTCAAGACTTTTCCACTTGAGGAGCGGCGGGACCCAGCCGGAGTGCATCCGTAAGTGTTCTCCATAACACATCCATGGGAATCTGTTAAAATACCAGTTTATATTTGTGGGTGAAGTTTCTCATTTATAAAGGTCAATGCAGAATGTATTTGTATAATTAAGCTACAGAGAAATGGGTCAAGTACAAGTCAAAACTGAGACCAGAAGAGAGTTGAGTTCATGTTCAGACAAAGTCCACATGCTCCCGAGTTCATGACAAGACCAAGAGCTTGAAAATATGGTCTTGGACTTGACCTTGAATCAGAGTCCAAGACCATAATTTCATGCTCTTGGTCTTGGCCCGTTAAGTCTGAGTCCAAGACTATTGTTTCTTCTTTTTGGTCTTGTATTGGCCGTGAAGTCTAAAACCATCATTAAATCCTCTTGAGCTTGGTCTTGGCCATAAAGTCCTAGTCCAAGAGTCTGAGGCCATTATTTCATGCTTTTTGTCTTGGACCTTGGACCTAAGTCTGAGTCTAAGATCATCATTTCAGGTCTTGGTCTTGTCTTGGACTCTGTGTTGACTCAGACTCAACCCTATTCTGGTCTCGACTATAACACTGTCCAGTTAAACTTCAATTAACTATTAAATGCCAAGTGTTCTACAAACAAGAGATTAACATCAGTTAACTTGCATTTGAGACACTATGGCCAGTTATTTTGTGTTTTTGCTCTGCTAATGACAGTAGTTCCAGCAAGTTCATATTCATAATGACTGTTCATTTCACAACGTCCATCACATGCTACTAAGTCTAAAGTATTCATTCCACTGAAGAGAGTAGGACATGTTTATTTCTGTTCTTATAGTAACATCAGAAGAAAATATGGTGGAAATGCACTAGAAACCTATTTATGAACACAATCTTTTGCAATATAGTCTTTTACGATGCAACATAAAGTACTAGAGTGAACTACTCGCCTGTTGTTTGGAAAAAGATGTCTGGGCTTGATAGAAGTTACTTTTTTTAGTCTGACTGAATAAAGATGTTTATAGCTATAGTTTCTGTTAGATTGATAACCATTTAGATGTAAATATGCTCTCCCTCCTCATATAAATTAGAATTCATAACCATCAAATAATGTCATAATTCTCAGTGGCACACTCCTGATAGCCATTTTATTCTTTGTGATTGCTATTAAAGGAAATACTCCACATAGTAAGCCAGAAATCACTTTATTTTCTGTATCAAGCTGCAGTTCGGTTACACAGCAGCAACAATGTCCGTGTGAAAACACCATGTGAGTTACACTGTGAACGTTGCTCATTGCTTGAACTAGCAGTGTGAAACAGACCTTTGGGTGACTCTGAGACTACTGTAATGATCTGACCAATGTATTGCTTCTCTGATGTACTAAACCATACTAAAAGAGAATCACTTATCTCATATTATCTGAAAGAGTGAAGATTAATGTTTCCCACACAATGGCCACTTGAGTTGAATTGCTTCTGAATTATGTGGGTGATACCCTGACTACACTCCCCTGGTTCACTTCATCAATTGATAAATCACTGATCTCTTAGTGAGAAAGGTCTGTCTGTGCTCTTAGAGGTTTAAAGCATACTAACTCCTTGAATAATCCATTTTAATTACTTTTCTAAAAATAAAATGCTTCGTTTGTTTAGTAACAATACCGACAAGCATTTTTTTTTTATCTTATTAGTGTGTTTGATCTTTCTCTGACTGTAAAAATATATGCACAGCAAGTGCTTGTATCTTTATATATGTCATCATAAAGTTGAATTTCAAATCCGTTCCCTGTAAGTCTTTCTAATGTAAAATACCCCTGACATCACCTCAGTTTATTTAAAATGGATGAAGATGATTCACTCAGGTCTGGTGGGTTATCATGGTGGGCTACGAGGCTTGTGATTGGATTATGTCCATTTACCAACAGAAGCTCCAAAATCAACAGCATTAAAGCAGGCTGAAATACGAGAAAACAGCTGGCTTCTAATTTCACAAGACAGATTGCCATTCAGTTGAAGCATTTCTAAAGCTAATTACATTTTGCATCATGCCACTACCCCAAAGTTCTGTCATTGTTTTGCAAAAATTTGGAAATAAAATGAGATGGCAAGGAAGACACAGCACTTCCCCCCACTTAATTGTAAATTTGTGATAAAACAGCTTTTGTGTGCTTGCACCTAATCACACCATTTTTCCCCCCAAGAATAATCGAAATCATTCCGTAATTACGCACTGTAATTTTGTTTACACTGAGCAGTTGGCTACTCACAGAGTCAGGCTGAGTGTTAAATCGTCTTTCTCATCCCCCTCTTTTATTTTACACAGAATTGGATAATGACTGGCTGTCCTTTCCATTAGCGTTCCACTAGATTCGTCTCCAAAGAAATAATGTTTTTTTTTTATTGTGCCTTGCTCTGTTGTCCTGAGAATTTATTTATTTACTTCAAGTGGACTATATCATATCATTAATAGCAATTGAAAGTTTTGGCATGCAAAAAGTTATAGACTATAGTGTATGTAAAAAAATTAATTTATTATATACATTTATTAAGTTATTTATTTTTGGAAAAAAACTGAGATAATTGTGATCATATCAAGTATTTGCACAGTTTGGGGAAAATTTAATTTAATTTTGCTATAAGTAAATATGGCATGATTATGTATTTGTTGGTTTTAGTATCATGATTGTATTCATAATACATTAAATCATACATTATTTTGGCTTTTGGTATCAGTATTAGAAAAGAACATCCAGTCATTTCTCCAGTTTAATTTAGTATGAATAACAATATGAATTAAATGTCAAAGATGTTTGAGACACATTTTGATTTACATTTTCTCAATAAATGAGCAGAATTTATTGCAATAAACCCTGCACTCCCATCAGGGCCGTCCTTAGCTGACGCGGGGCCTGGTGCGAGGAAGGGAGCGGGGCCCCCCTCTGTCCGTTCGCGATCGCGTTCCGGGGGGGTGCGACCGCACCAGTTGCACCCCCCTAAGGACGGCCCTGACTCCCATATTATGCAGCAATTTAACTGGAAACCATAGTAGGTCCTTTCCCTGGTTACATTCTTTTCTTTTGTGGCTGTACTGGTGATGTAGTGATCATGAATAGAAACCCTTATCAAAGTCTTGGATAAAAGAACTGGGTCCAGTGCACCGAGGCAAAACCTCAATCCCGGCTACTTTTGATCAAAGTCATAGTGATGGTGGAGCTGTTGGAATGACTGAGTGAGCATTGGCTTGCGTTTGATCTGCTGGTGTGACAGGTAAAGGTGCGCTACCTTTAAGTGCCATCTGCCAGCATGCATCAATGTCTGCCACATCTCCGCCAGCTTTTGTAGGCACAGGAACATGGCGGTGTCAGCTACTGAGGGAGAGAGCATAGATCCTCTCTAAAGAAACATGCCATGTTGTCTTAAAAGTTCAAACTTAATTTTGATTTTGCCCACTGAAGTTTGAAGTCTGATTATAAGAGGACCGAGACTGTTTGCTGGATAGTACTTTCATTTCTTTTGTTTCTCTTTTAAAATTACTCTTTGTTTCCTTTGTAGCCCACAGTTGTAAACAGCCAGAGAGTCCTCCTCATGTGGATGTTGTGGGTATGGATCTAACTTCGTATGGTTACACGCTCATCTACACCTGCCAAATGGGCTTCTTTTTGTCTGGGGGCTCTGAGCACCGGGTCTGCAAGTCCGATGGAACCTGGACTGGAAAGATGCCTGTGTGTCGAGGTATCAAACACTTCACATTGTCTGCCAGCACTTTTAACATTCCTATAGCCTGCATACAGAATATTCCCATCAGAAGCATTCAAACGTGTCCCCTCAGATTTTACTAATTGGAGTTTGAATGCAATAATTTTATTTTATTTTGTCTTATTTTAGTTTATTCTATTTTTTTATTTTATGATATACAACAAAAATGCAGGGTAATGACTGGCTGTTCAATTTTATTTTTGCTTGATTTATTAATATACCATTGAAGTTTGGGGTCAGTAAGATTTTTTAAAAAGAAATTAATACTTTTATTTAGCAAGGATGCATTAAATGGATCAAAAGTGACCCTAAAGACATTTAAAATGTTACAAAAGATTTCTATTTAAAAATAGTTCTTTTGAACTTAATATTCAAAGAATCTTGAAAAAAAAAATTCTAACATTTATAATAATATGAATTGTTTCTTGAACACAAAATCAACAAATTAGAATGATTTTTGAAGGATCATGTGACACTGAAGACTGGAGTAATGAATGCTATTGTAATGATAAATTACATTTTACAATATTTTCAATAATTATTTTAATTTGTAATGATATTTCACAATATTCTTTTAGTTTGATCAAATAAATGCAGCCTTGGTGAGCATAAAAGCTCATCTTACATTTATAACTTATAAACAAGTATTAAATTGTTAAGAATAAATTCTGTGTTTTCGTTTCTTTATTGTCATGCCTCATTTCACATAGACCACCACCAAGAGCTAAACTAGACATCATTTCGTACTTTGCACTTCCTGCCCAAGTGAGCGTGTGCTTAGGTGGGGTGCCAGAGCACTAGCGTGTGGCCAGCATGCTGCAGTGCTGTGATTTTATCTTCCTCGTCTTCATCCTGCAGCTCAGAGCACTGCCCCAGCAGCCAGCACACGCCACCATGCATGTACACAGCTGTACACTTCAGGCTTTCCAGTAATTACTGCACATAAACAGATGTGATTGTCTATAAAAATAAAAATTCCCAAGTGGTCGACACAGAGCTTCTCCAAACTGTGATGGGGCTGTGTTTATCCCTCATTTTTCTGCACCTGTCATGAACAGCCTCCATTTGAATGTTCAGTTATGCTGCTTGATATGTTGACCATGTCACCCCCTGCTGTCTGCAGTCACCTGATTTTTCTTAGTGAAAGGGAAGAAAGGAGGCACACTGTTGCCTGGGGATGTTACTATATGCATGAAATGATAAAAGTGGTGCCAATTTGATCTGTCAATCTTTTTTAAACCTTTATTTTATTTTTGCTTTTTCTTTCCCAGCGGGCTCCAAACTCTCTGAAAAGCCTATTAAACCAGTCCCAGGGACACCGAGTCCGAAGCTAAATGGTGGGTGCACTGTTATTATGAAATGGGGTTTCATTTGAAAGACCACTTATGAGTGTTAAGTGCACCTCATTTAGAATGCATAATTTTGACTGAACATCTCCTCTATTTGGCCACAGAGAGCAATGGTACCTTAAACATTTGCTATCCGTGATGTATTCCAGACCACAGCCCCAGGAGGAGGGGGCTAATGAGGAGAAAATGGGCTCCAGTTAGTTTGACTGTAAAGTAGTCTGGCAGCTGCAAGAAACTCGACTAGAATCACAAGATCATCCTACTGAACTTTGCCAGACTTTCTTAGAGCATATTGCGTGTCTTACGTTTATATACTTAGAGAGCAGGATTAAGTAAGAGGCAAGCTGGTGTCCAGCAAAGGTAGGACCTGTAGGAGCACCTACAGCAAATATTCAGTTAAATTCAATTCAAGTTTATTTGTATAGCGCTTTTCACTATACAAATCGTTGCAAAGCAACTTTACAGCAAATTAAGTTTCTACAATATTTAGTGGTAGCTTATCAGTGGTGACTTTCAGTTAATGTACATATGGCAGAAATGTACAGAAAAATCAATTAAAGACGTAATCAAACAGACGATGAACACTATTAACAGCAATTATTATATGATGCAATCAAACTTATAGCAAAATGTGGTAGTTCTGTATGTTGTCTGAGTCACTTTCTAGAGTCCATGACAGAAAGGACAAACCGGATATCCAATATGTTTCCAGAAACTGATGGATCCCAAGATCAGTAAGACACGGAGAACCCTTCAAGCTACTGGGTTCTGAAACGGTAGATTACAGGAAAATTGACTGCCTTTGTAAAGACTCAGAGCGTGATATCTGAGAACTCCGGCCAACACATTATTTCTTATCTGGCTCCATTATAAATATCTTATGAGAATAACTGAATACTTTGTTGAATTATATGCTGAATTATGGCTAAATTTGACTCATTTGCCTTGCTTAAGCAGTAAGATATGAGAGGCTATATTACTGTACATAAATATATTTATATTAGGGCCGACAGTCAAATAAAAAGCCATTGTTGTGTTATATGAGAAAAGCATGAAACAGATATTACACAAAGTAGCTTTAGAATTTTTATATATATATATATATATATATATTATATAATATATAATAAATGTAATATATTTATGTATATATTTTAAAGTATGTGTATTTCTGTGCATTTAGAAATATAATGTAATATCTATTTGATAATGTCAACTAGATTTTATAAAATAGATCACAAAATATAGCTCTATATACATAGAAATATATATATATATATATATATGAAATCATATATATAAATATTATTTAATGTATTTAGTGACAATCTATGGTTCATACACAGATGGTTCATATATACAGTAGTTGTTTGGCATTAGTATTTTAGCATGACTGAAACAATGTGTCAACCAATCAACCGCCAGAACTATAAAAATATTTTGCTTAATTATTTTCTGATACTACATACTGTACTCTCTTTTGGCAATATAAGATATAATATAGTTGTGAATAGGTGTTAATTTGCTTAATTTGCAGTTTAATGTAAATCAAAAGAGAAATTGCAGAAATTTAATATACACAATAAATATGCAGATGTGTGTATGTGAGCATTATGTATTTTAGAATATGATATGTACAGGGATAGATATGACTAATACTGAATAATATTATTTTAATAATATTATGAATAATATTGAATGTGTCTTTCATTTGTTTATTTATTCACAGTTCCTGATGATGTATTTGCCCCTAACTACGTCTGGAAGGGCTCATACAACTACAAGGGAAGAAAACAACCAATGACTTTGAGTATCACAAGCTTTAATACAACCACGGGTAGAGTTAACGTCACATTAACGAGCAGCAACATGGAACTACTGCTTTCAGGTGGGTTTGTTGTTCAACTCTGCAGATTTACTGAGCTGACAGAACGTCTCGGTTACGTACGTAATCCTCATTCCCTGATGGAGGGAACGGAGACGTTATGTCGTGACAACATTAGGGGTCTAACTTGGGAGCCCAATCATCTCTGAGTTTAAGAGAAAACGGCAATGAAAATTGGCTAGTGGATTTTGCACGCTGAGCCACTCCCTATGCACATAGGTATATAAGGCGACAGCGCGCATCCACTCATTAGGTTTTACGCTGAGGAGCCAAGAACGTGTCCCGGCAACAGCGAGTGATTCAAGGTTGTGGCATGGGGACATAACATCTCCGTTCCCTCCATCAGGGAATGAGGGTTACCTACGTAACCGAGATGTTTCCTATCTGTCCGTCACTAAGAGTTATGTCGTGACGACATTAGGGGTCTATGGAAAACGCCACAACCTGAACACCGTCACAACCCTGTGTCGCTGCAAATGTTGACAAGCCGTAGCATGTCAAGACAAAAGCTACGCTAAGGTCATAACCTTTCCAAAGCCCCAGTGCAAATTCACTGACCTTGGTACAGAAGGGGACCAAATGGTGAGTACATCGCTGCTGGAGAAGGCCATGCTGCTGTTCCGTCCACAAAAAAATGTTGACCTTCAGTGAAAGATTGCTTCAAATCTTTCCTATTTGCTCTTTTCAGCCTGGCAGAAAGATGGGGAAGCAAGCCTTCAGGTAAAAGTCACTACGGAGACCACATCCTACCCGTAGGGAGGTGACGTGGAGATACTGATATGGACTGGGCCTAGCGTCAGACTTCTCCGCCAAGAGGATGCTCGATCAGGGTTCGCCAACCGGGGAACTCTACTGGGAGAAGAAAGGCACTTGCATCCCCATGTGAGGGGGAATGGCACAGCGGGTTACCCAACATGCGGGAAGAAACCGGCTCTACACAAAAGTTGTAAAACCTCGCAAAGGTGTTAAGTGTCGCTCAGCCCACAGCTTGACAGATGTCCGCCAGAGAGCCGCCATGCGCCAGCGCCCAGGAGGAGGCAACACTCTGAGTGGAGTGGGCTCTCACCCCCAGGGGGCACGGCTCGCCTTGGGATTGGTACACCAAGGCGATGGCATCCACTATCCAGTGGGCCAACCTCTGCTTGGAGACAGCCTTCCCTTTCTGCTGACCTCCAAAGCAGACAAGGAACTGCTCAGAGCTTCTGAAGCTCTGGATGTGGTCCACGTATATGTGTAACGCTCTTACGGTACACAGCAACGCCAAGACTGGATCTGCCTCCTCCGGGGGCAGCGCTTGCAGGTTCACCACCTGAACTCGAAAGGGAGTGGTGGGAACCTTGGGCACGTATCCAGGCTGGGGTCTCAGGACAATGTAAGAGTAGGCCGGCCCGAACACTCCTCACTTACTGAAAATGCTTGGAGGTCCCCGACCCTCTTGATGGAAGTGAGCGCAATCAAGAGCGCTGTCTTAAGAGACAGGAACTTCAGCTCAACTGAATCTAGCGACTCAAAGGGACCCCTCTGAAGTCCAGCCAGGACAACAGAGAGACCCCAGGAAGGTATCAGGGGTGTCCTAGGAGGATTCAACCTTCTGGCACCCTTCAGGAACCTAACAAACAGGTAATGCTTTACCAGGGACCAGCTGTCCACTGCATCGTGATGTGCTGCGATAGCAGCAACACACACTTTCAAGGTGTGTGACATGTGCTGCGATAGCAGCAACACACACTTTCAAGGTGGAGGGTGACAGCCTACGCTCCAACCTTTCTTGCAGAAAAGAAAGCACAACTCTAATCGAGCATCTCCGGTGGTCTCCTCAGTAAGAAGAACACCAATTCGTAAACAGACTCCACTTCAAAGCATAGGCTTGCCTCGTAGAGGGAGCTCTAGCCTGAGTGATAGTGTCTACCACCGTTGGTGGCAGATCACTTAGGTCTGCCGCGTCACGTCCAGTGTCGCCGCACAGGCCATCCTTGGAGATGGGAGCGTCAAGAAAGCATACTTTGTTAACGTCTTTCATCTCGAACAAGCTTAGCCAGAGCTGGTGCTCCTGGACCACCAGAGTGGACATCGCCTTCCAGAGGGAACGCGTCGTGACTTTCATCGCCCAGAGGGCGAAGTCAGTCGCCGTGCGCAGCTCCTGCATCAACCTCAGGTCGGTACTGCAGGTGCACCGCAACCTCTGAAGTCAGTCGCCGTGCGCAGCTCCTGCATCAACCTCGGGTCGGTACTGCAGGTGCACCGCAACCTCTCCACCTGGGGAATGTCGAAGCACCCCCTAGCCGCCCCACCATCGAGGGTAGTGAGGACAGAGAAAGGAGACGAGCGGCTTCTGGCCATAAACGTCCGCGACTACGTCACTTCCTCATGCACCTCTGGGAAGAAAGGAACCAGAGTAGAACGCGGTTGTGAGCCGCGGTCCGCACTGAGAAACCAATCGTCCAGCCTTGAGCACTCAGGGCTGGGTGGTGTATTCACCTCCAGCCTGATGCTCACAGCTGCCCGGACAAGCATGGCTGTCAACTCTGGGTCCGATGAATCGAATCTGGTCTGAATCTTCATCCGCAGAGGTCAATAGCCCATCCCCCGATGCTGCAATCGACATCTGATCCCCTGGTGGCACACCGAATGAAATGCGGGGACCATCATAAGACAGCCCAACAGAATCACTCAGCAGCTGCACAGGAGAAGTGCTGCAGGAGGAGTAAGAGGTCCGTGGGGCGTGGCCCGGCAGGTGAAACTCTCACTGTCACCCTCAAATTTTCCAGAGCACTAGCCGGCTGTCCTCTGCTCGTGGCAGAGAAACCGGGACGAGTAGTGACAGAGGGGTCTGCTCCTTTCCCTTTAAGAACGGAGAGACGCGATCACAACGTTGCCGTGGTCATGCACTCGCAGTGCGGGCATGAACCATCCACGAATGCGTCTTCAGCGTGCTGAATGCCCAGACACAGAAGACAACGCTCGTGGCCATTGTCAGAGGACAGGAAATGACAGCAAACAAGAGAACACGGATGAAACGGCATCTTTAAAAAGACGCAAATCATCCATGATTTGAACTTTTAGGAAATCTGCTCTTTTATTTGAAAGGCCCAGGGGAATCACTAAAAGGGACACCGCTGTTCAGAACAGAACAGCTTCCCAACACACAGCAGATGGCTTTGTGGAGTATAACAGCTTTTCATACAACCAGTCGGCTCCAAAGCAAAAATCTAATGAGTGGATGTGTGCTGTTGCCTTATATACCAGTGTGTACGGGGAGTGGCTCAGCGTGCAAAATCCACTAGCCAATTTTCACTGGCGTTTTCTCTTAAACTCAGAGATGATTGGGCTCCCAAGTTAGACCCCTAATGTAAAATTAATAACAGAGGCAAATTAAACTAGACCGTTAATGAGTTAGATCGTTAGACTGACTGTACCACCTTCCTCTTCCACTCATGAGACTCACAAGTCTTTATAAAGCTGACATATGCTTTACATCATCTAATTAATCTTAGACACTGCTATTGGCCAGCCATCAGGAATAATCACTGGTGAATAAAGGTGAATAAACCACCAGTCACTCATGTGAAAAATGGACTTGTCGTAAGGGTAACATGATCATAACGATGGGAGCAACAGCGAACCATCAACTTAATTAGTCATCAGCCAGTTGGAGGGCAATGAAATCTATCTTTTCACCTAAAATGCTGGAGTGCCACCATAGAGTGTGTGTGCATTTCTGTTCTGCAGTTAGAAAGAGTTAGAGAGAGTGGCCAAGACAAGAAGAGAGCAATAAGAGGATGAAACATGTACGTGAAGCATGTAGACAGCTGTCTGCTCTCTATTCTCTGTCGTAGGTGTCTATAAGAGCCAAGAAGCACGTCTGATGCTGCTGGTGTATCACGTGAAAGCGTCCTCACCCACCACACTCAGCAAGATCAAAGAAGAGCAGTGGACCCTGGATGGATTTGTATGTGCACATGTGTCTTGTTTTAGTGCTATTATCTTTTAGGTTGTGTTGTACAGAAGAATACTGTGTTATATATTAAAATGCAATGGTGGATGAAGTCCACGCATCCTGTACTTGAATTAAAATACAGATACGCTGATGAAGTATTGCTCCAGTAAAAGTACAACTATATTACATTTCTACCAGGATTATTATAGTTAACTAAAACTAAAACTGAAACTAAAATTAAAACCATAAAACATTTTCAGTACTTGAAATAAAATAAACATTAATGGAAATTCTCATTTTAATTTAGTTTAACTTGTACTAAAATAACTAAAACTATAACTGAATTAAAAAAGAATGTAAACTATATAGACATATATAAAAAGAACAATGACAAATGACAAAAACACAACAAAATTACTAACATAAGTTACTAACATTAAAATGAAAACAGAAAATATCAAACTAAAATTTAATAAAATTATTAATAAAAACTTGAATAGTATCTTAAAACTAAAATAACACTGACTTCTACTTCAGTAAAAGTACAAAAGTTATCAACTACTGCAATCATATCCTGGGGTGTACTGGCCATCTGGAGCACTGGGGCATTTCCCAGTGGCCTGACGGTCATTCTGTCCTGCCGTGCCATCAGCTTGACGTGTGATAGGCTGATATGCAGCTTGGAATGAATTGATGGACCTCTCAGAATCTATGAAACAGGCAATCGCGGTTTGAAAATAACACAACCACATGACCCAACGTCAGCGACGCACTGCCTATTTGGCTGAATCCAAAGACTATATCTTCGACAATCGTGCAGCAACGGAGGTGGCCTGGGATGAAGTCAAATTCCCGGCCTGAATTATTGTCTCAATCCGCAACTTATCATATCAGTTGAATTAAAAAATGAATCATTAAATATGATTTGTGAACCAGTTCAATCAACTCAAAAGAATGAGAATGATTATTTATTAATCAAACATGACCATCTGGTTCTGACAGCGGGTGCTGATTTCTTCACTTCACAGTTTTTTCTGAAACATACAGTAGTGAAGTGAAATGTCAAATATCATGCTTTAGAATGTAGTAACAGACGTTTCTGATCATTTAATGAACTTAAAATTTACTGAAGTATAGTTAAGGAATATAAAAAAATATTTAATTACTGTCCACCATTGCTAATGTGAATGCAAACTGCTAATAAGATATTTCAGCATATTGATCATTTCTTTGTCAGTTTATCTTCAGTTTTATTTTGGCAGTCTGTGTGAGCAGTAGTGAGTGTAAGTGGAAAATATATTCCCATTGGTCTGCAAGGCAATTGATCTGTTTGATTGTTTGCCGGCAGGTGTCTGCTGAACCAGATGGGTCCACATATGTCTTTCAAGGCTTTATACAGGGTAAAGACTACGGCCAGTTTGGCCTGCAAAGGCTAGGTATGGGAGCCCATCTTGATATTTTTTTCATGCTGCATTGTTTCATTGTAAAATATTTTATCCCACCCCGTTTCATCAATGTTTCAACAATTTTGGCAAAAAAAAAAAGTTAATAAATGCATACAAAAATTAAAATGAATGTTTCTCGATCTCTTGCAGGTTTGAATATGTCGGAAAGTAATAATTCTTCAAATCCACCACATGGTACAAACAGTAGCTCTGTGGCCATAGCAATCCTTGTGCCTTTTTTCGCCCTGATATTTGCAGGCTTCGGATTTTATCTCTACAAGCAGCGGTGAGTCTTGCCGTCTATCCTCATTTGTCAAAGTTTGTTTGTGGAGTTGTTATTCTAGACAGATCAGAACGAATTTAGAAATTAGTCTCAGACAAAATCATCATCATTTGTTGCAGGATGGAAAGAAATAGACGGTGACAGATACTGTCTTTAGAGACAGAATTAGCTCATTTGCAGGTTATTGAATGTGATCATAATTAGATGTTACCTTTCTTCCCTGCATGATTCCACGTACCCGCTGCCACTCGACGTCTTTCCAAACTCTCAAAGCTGCTGCAGATTTGATTCTAATGACGTTCTGATGTCAGGTCTTGTGTGTATGTTGTTTCGCTCTGACAGGACTACTCCAAAAACCCAGTACACAGGCTGTTCAGTTCACGAGAACAACAACGGGCAGGCCGCTTTCGAGAACCCCATGTACAACACCAATGCAAAGTCCGTGGAAGGCAAAGCTGTCCGATTTGACCCCAATCTGAACACAGTCTGCACAATGGTATAATTAGGTCCGCCTGACTCGAAAACATCTGTGGAGTTTTTTTGTTTTTTCATTTAAGGATTTTTGCTTTGTTTTTTTTAAATGGAGGTGGAAACAATAGCATTACAGTCATGGACGGATTTGTCTGAGACTCACAGAGGATGTCTAGCACAAACGCTGTTGCCCTTTCTCTGATATATAAAGCACACTCTTCAGGAACCATTTGACCATGTGCGTCCGCGGAGGACATGTATGAAATATGAAACACGAAACACATTGTCATGGGGGATTTTTTTTTTGAAGACTCACTCTAAAAAGCTTCTTCATGACGGAAAGCATGAAGAGATTCTTCTGCTACCTTATTCACACTCCGTGAGTGCTTCTTCACAGTTGACTGGGTATTTTTTTAGGGGAAAGGGATCTGTAAATCTACTTGCATATATATGAGGAGCATTCACCACCTATATTTTTGTGCTATATATTACCACATGGGAGAGGCCAAGAGAGAACTATTCTAGCAAGAGTTTATGATGAGATTCACATCGACCGATACATTATTTCCCTGATTGTTTTGTACGGTACACAAAGTTTTATTTACAGCTCATTCACATTCATTCCTTTAGCTTTGGTGCCTAATGACACCAGTCATCTCTGTGACGTTGCGGCATTCTGTAATGTGTGATGTGTTTGGGTAAAACAAGAGAGAAAATGTGTGGAAAAGTGGTGTGTCGTTACCTCCTGAGGATTTTTTTAAATAATTGTTATAGATTTTTGATATTCAGTATGTGTGTCTGTTGATAAGCATCCATCTTCAGAATGGGCCGTAGGACAAATGTCAGCATTTTGACCTGAAGCCTGCAGATTTGTTTTTCTTTTCTATTTGTTTTTAATTGGTGTTTCAGTGCGGAAGTGTCATTGAGCTCCATTTGTATTTGGGAAACAAATTTGATATGATAATTTGGTCATTATAACAACTTGCCATTCTTATTATTACTGTTATTATATAAAAATTTGTGAAACACCTTTCCAGTTATGTCTGACCTTGTTGTGTTTTACACTAAATACATTCATAAAATCAGCAGCAAAAGTTGATGAGTTGACCTTAAAAATATCTAAAGTGGGTTTGGTTAACCTAAACAAAGTTATTATGAAGAAAATGTAGACATATCACATTGTCAACATGAGAGGCACACTATATGTGGTGGCAGGAGATGAAGTTATGAACACTTTTTGTCATAAAAAAGCAGGGTCAGACACTGTTGGTCATGTGCTTCCAGGCCTGCAAGCTGTGAGATTCATTCCAGTGCCTTCTAAAGTATTCACCACCACATTTTCCTAAACAGGTCATATTGAAAAGATATTGAAAATAATTATGGGTCAGTAGAGGTCCAGGTCAGTGTTGTGCATCGGCAGGAGTGAATGCTGCAGTCTTCAGGAGGCTATGCTGACATCACTGTCCTGGAGTTCCAAAATCCAACAAACCAACCTGTGATATTTTTTGCATTGATTTTTGCGCTCAGCCATAGGGATTTGCAGTCTTGCACGTCATTGACATTACTGATTTATTTTAATTTATTATTTATCTCTAGGAATTTGTTTTAATACATGGCAGATTTTTACACAGTGCCTACCAAAAACCATGTGACCCAGGTCTGCTGCTTCCCCACTTCCTCTACTCATGCCTCACCTCTGCCATATAGTTTATGTATTTTAATTTCTCCCCGCCAATGAAATGTGTGGTTCAGATATTCAGTTTTATCCAACACTGTTGCTCGTGTGAGACATTTTATGTTCCTCCGCCAGTCTGAACTTATTTGCCAACAACAGCTTTTGCTATAACTGACTGCAATAAAAGAAAATACACATTTATGATAAAAAATAGGCACTTTTCGATCAAACAGATTAATATTTGCAGTACAGCTTGGTACTCCTCCCATGTTAATGCATTCAAAAGAAATATAAAAAGAGGGTAAAAAAATTATAAAAAAGTTTTGTAAAGAAATATATTTTTATGAAGAAATTATTTGTACAATGTATGAAACTTATGTAAATTTTCAATGCAATGTAAGATTAAAAAGGCTATTTCCTTTTGTAATGAGTGTTCTGTCTTTTTGTAGTTTTGATGATCTGGAGCAGAGCTTGGTACTCCTCCCATGTTAATGCATTCAAAAGAAATATAAAAAGAGGGTAAAAAAATTATAAAAAAGTTTTGTAAAGAAATATATTTTTATGAAGAAATTATTTGTACAATGTATGAAACTATTATGTAAATTTTCAATGCAATGTAAGATTAAAAAGGCTATTTCCTTTTGTAATGAGTGTTCTGTCTTTTTGTAGTTTTGATGATCTGGAGCATTTACTCAAGGTTTTCTTGTGGAATTAGATCAATAACGAAATGTGGGCTGCAAAGATAAGCCAAAAATCAACAGGCCAAAGATATCATCATGTTTTAAAACATATTCTTAATATTATTCAAATAACCCATCCGATCCATCTCATAAGCTCAGTGTGAGCATTGTTCTGCACACAACATGACTGATTAGAATTTCAAAATTAAACATTCCTGTTTACCCCCTGCTTAAATGTCACACTTGTTGGCTTCAGTCACATTTGTGTTGCTATGCAAACACTTGATTGACAATTTCTCACAATTTGATGCATTGAGTGCAGGAGTTAGAAGCTGCTGAAATCTCTCTAGGGTGGAGCAATCTCATTTCCCCTTTGACACTGTCTTAATTTGCAGTAGCTATATGTAAATTAATGAACTCCGCCCATGACAGCTGGGATAAAGTGAAGTGACATGTGACATGTGGCCAAGTATGGTGACCCATACTCGGAATTAGTGCTCTGCATTTACCCATCCAAAGTGCACACACACAGCAGTGAACACACACAAACCGTGAACACACACCCGGAGCAGTGGGATTGACGCATCCATCAAGTGAGTTCATGTATGACTTTGTGGTGAACTGTGCCTCATACTATTTTGGCTGATCACAAGGAAGAAGATACTTCCAGCAAACTTCTGAAGAACTCAGAATATTGTTATCCTGTGGCCCATGAGGAAATTAAGGGAGTAAGTATATGACCTAAATGCTGCCATTTTTGCTTCTTTTGAAACTTTTGAATGTTAATTGCAAAGATCTTTTTTTGTCAGAACACATAGCTACGTTTTAAAGACCGCCAATAGAAAAAACGTGAAAGTGACGCGACATTGGCCAAGTATGGTGTTGCATACTTGGAATTTGTGCACACACACACAGCAGTGAGTAGTGAACAAACACACACACACACACACCGTGAACACACACCCGGAGCAGTGGGCGGCCATTTTTTGTTGCAGTGCCTGGGAAACAGTTGGGTTACAAGTCCGACTCTCTAACCATTAGCCAACTAAATGCCCACACAATGGGTCAAGTATGGCATCTACCAGCAGGGTGAACTGCTGAATCTAACCTGCCAAATGACCACCTAGTGTGAATTCTAATATAAATTCTATGTGTGACCCTGAACCACAAAACCAGTCTTAAGTCGCTGGGGTATATTTGTAGCAACAGCCAAAAACACATTGTATGGGTCAAAATTATTGATTTTTCTTTTATGCCAAAAGTCATTAGTAGGCTATATTAAGTAAAGATCATGTTCCATGAAGATATTTTGTACATTTCCTACTGTAAATATATTAAAACTTAATTTTTGATTAGTAATATGCATTGCTAATAACTTAATTTGGACAACTTTAAAGGTGATTTTCTCAATCTTTCGACTTTTTTGCACCCTCAGATTCCAGATTTTCAAATAGTTGTATCTCTGCCAAATATTGTCCTATCCTAACAAACCTTACATCAATGGAAATCTTATGTATTCAGCTTTCATATACATCTCAATTTCGAAAAAATGTACCCTTTTGACTCGTTTTGTGGTCCAGGGTCACATTTGTCAATTCAACCAGAGGCATGAAAATCCATCTTTGAGAATTCAAAAATCTATATTTGAATTGCATGTGTTTAATCAAAAAACATGCCACAATGTGAGGAAATAAATCTTAATTATTTTTAAATACTTAAATACATTTAGTATTAGTCTGTGTTGAGCTGCATAGGCTTAAAAGTTATTTGTGTGTGAAAATACAAAAGATGGTGACTACATTTTCCCCCCTTTGTTAGTACTACAGTATTATTGTATAGAGAAAAAAAACATGAATCAAGGTAGGATTATAGAATCTAGGTTTTTCCATGCTGTCTGAAAGGACGATGAAAGTGAATAGATGAAACAAACTCATGAAGTGCTCTGTTCTTGAAGGTGTACATTCCTGGCACAAGACAGACCTTGAGATACTGAAACACACACGGTGATGAATGTAAGGCCAATTTCAGTGTGGCAAGAATTCAAACAAGGTGAAACACTGCCAAGGTGCGACTGAGAGAGCAAGACAATTAATTGCATAATTATCATACTGCTTTCAGTGCTAAGGTTTTCATTATTATTAATAAAATATACTGTTGACAAAAAAACATTCCTAGATTAATAATTAATAAAAGGTTTCTAGAAGGAAAATATTCAAATATTCACAACATAAACTTCATCAGCATAAAATAATGCAAATGCACACTACCTTTAGCGCTTTAACAATACATATTGTTTCAGAGCAGCTTAAAAGTAATAAAAAAGAAAATGAAACTTCATCAAATATGAGACCAATTCAAATTCTGATGCAAAGCAAGAGTCATTATTTAGCTTGTCAGTTCATTGTTGATTCGGTTTTCAGTTCGAATCAATTCAGTTCAATAACTGTGAAGTTCATCCATTATGAAATGAGTTCAATTCTCTTGACAGAAGCTCTACAGAAGACAATAGTGTTGTTACTCAGCTTGAGTCAGTTCAGTGTTGATTCAAATCAGTTCAAAAACAGTGTCCATTTTGCTAAATGCATCAATTATGAAATGAAGTTGAATCAGCTATAAAGCAGCTCTACAACCCATTGTAACACACCTAAGGATAAAAAACATGGTTTTCACATGTTGTTTTTGTTGTAATTTTTGATATGAGTAAATTAAGACAAAAAAAATTAAAAAGTTCAACAATACAAGGATAGACACAAAATATCGCTTTTCATTTTAAAATATTGAACAAACCAAAGTATTTAAAGTGAGGTTACAATGAAAACATACATTTTTACATTAGACATTAAATTGTTACATCCATTATTATTTTATATTGAACTGTTCTATAGTCTGTGCAGTATTTACTCAGAAGTAGCTGTAATTAAATTACAGGAAAATTAGAGGAATAGTTCACCCAAAAATAAAAGTTCTGTCATCATTTAGTCACCTTCAGGTTATGTTAAACCTGTATAATTTTTTTCTTTGTTCTGTTGAACACAAAGGAAGATATTTTGAAGAACGTCTGAAACCAAACTGATGTGGGGCACCATTGACTACCGTAGTATGAAAAAAATACTATGGTAGTCAATGGTGCCCCACATCTGTTTGGTTACAAACATTATTTTCACAAAATAATGTATGTATGTCCATTTTTGTTATTTTATTTTTATTTTTTTAAACTGACTTGCCTGTAGCAAGG